AAACGCATTTCAGAGATGACTCCTAGGTTCCTGAGAAAAGTATTCCTGGGTCTTAAATCTGGTAAGAGGCTTATTTAACTTTTAAAAAGTTTACGCTCATCTCAGAGGGACAGAGAAAGAATTTATAATTAAGTTTTCTAAAGTAAATGCTGAAAGAAAAGGGGGAGGGGACGTGGGTCTCCCTTTTTGTACCGCGGAAAATTTTTTTTTCTTTTTTGATTCATATTTACCCTTGTACTTGGCATTCTTATTTATACACCAACTCTTTCTGAGTTTTATTAATGTCATTCAGAATGCCCAAGCCTAGTTCACCATGAAAGCACAGGACAAACTGAGTTGCTGAAGATAAAAATGTAAGGGGAAGATATTGAACAGAGGTGATTCTACCTTGTGAGATCCTGGGTGGCCAGTTGGGTTTCCTAATGATCCCTCTATCTAATAGCTCTCTGACTCCAATAGTAGTTAGACATTTTAGATATTAAATATTTTTTTTAACATAGTAAATCCAGAACTAATCCAAAATTTAGTTTTTTGTCTTGTTTTTGTTTTTTTTCTGTGGTACGAGGGCCTCTCACTGTTGTGGCCTCTCCCGCTGCGGAGCACAGGCTCGGGATGCGCAGGCTCAGCGGCCATGGCTCACGGGCCCAGCCGCTCCACAGCATGTGGGATCCTCCCAGACCAGGGCACAAACCCGTGTCCCCTGCATCGGCAGGCGGACTCTCAACCACTGCGCCACCAGGGAAGCCCCAACATTTAGTTTTGTTCATAGGACTCATTTTCTCCCTCTCCTCTCTCTTTTTCTCCATACCAAGAAACTTTGCAAAGTCCAGTGGGAGACTAGAGCTTAACCATGTGGAAAACTCTGGGAAGCAGTGTAAACCACATGCCTCAGAATTATCCAACCAAAGAGTGAGAGAGCTGGGCTATGTATACACCACCTCCCATCAGTCACTGGTGGAGAGGGCTACTCCTAGATGTTAATTCCTGGGTACTTCTGGCTTCAGGGGAAAAAAGGCCCTGGAAGGTTCCATAAGAAGCCATTAGGTGCAAAGATGTAGATGTCAGTAGTTGGAAGTCTGCCATCATGGGGCAGACCATCATATCATAGAAATGATAGCATTCGAAGAATGCCAGCAATCACTGACAACTATACTATATAGAGGCTTTGTATATATCATGGTAAAAAAATGGCTCAACATCTTGTATTTATGGAGCATATATTCTATTGAAGGGAGACTAACAATAAACAAAAAAATACAATAAATAAGTAGATTATATAGTATTTTAGAGGTTGATGAGTATAGGATAAAAGAATGGAAGTGTTGGATGGGAGAATGGCAGGTTGTAGTATTAAATACGGTGGTCAGTGTAGGCATCTTTGAAAGGGTGACATTTGAACTGAGTCTTAAAGGAAAAGAGTGAATTAGCCATGCAGATACCTGGGGAGAGCATTCCTGTCCAAGGAAGAGCCATTGCAAAGGCCTTAAGGCAGGAGCATGCCTGGTGTGGTCAAGGAACGGCATGGCCCATGTGGCTGGAGTGGAATGAGCAAGGAGAGTGATAGATGAGGCAAGAGAGGTAAAGGGGCCACATCCTGTGGGGTCTTGGGGGCCACTGCTTTTACTCTGGGTGAAATGGGAACCCACTGAAGAATTTTCAGGAGAGGAGTGACAGATCCAGAGTAGACCAGCAAGCAGTAAGGATGGAGCCCATTTAGGGAGCTGTTGCAATGCTCCACCTAGAGAAGATTATGACTTTGCCCAGTTGGAAGCAGGAGAGATGATGGAAAGTGGTCAGATCTTTTTGACCTTTTGGGTAGCATCAAAAGGATTGGCTGAGGAGCTGGATGTGTGAGGGGAGGGGGATAAAGTCTAGTCAAAGACGACGTAGAGTTTGGGATTGTAAGGACAGTGCCACTACCAACTGAGACACTGAAGAAGGTGGCCCTTTATACATTAAACATTCTTGATACATTAAGGAAATTTGCTCTTTGCCTCTCCTCCATCTTTTTGTCTTTTGACTTTGTTTTTGCTATTTAAAAGTTTTCATTTTGTTATAATTAAGTTTAAATCTTTTCTTTTTTTTCTGAGTTTTCTGTCTTGCTTGGAAAGGTTTTCCACAAATCTTGTATTTATAAAATAATACTTGCATGTTTTATTTAGAATTTGTATGGCTTTATTTTATTAGCTTTAAATCATTAATCCATCTAGAATTTGTTTAAGAATCCAATGTTGATGGGTTTTATTTTCAGATGACCACCTAGTTGTTTCAAGGCTTTTATTAAATAATGTTTTCCTCACTGATTTGAAATGCCCTCTTACCATATTCCAAAATTCCTTTGTCTTGGGGTCTATTTCTGATCTCTATTCTGTCCCATGGATTAGTCCATTCAAACTGCTTTAATTAGGATAGTGTTATAATATGTTTTAGAAACTGATACAGGTCATTCTTCCCTTATAACTCCTCATTCTTCCCTTATAACATTTTAATATTTTTCCATATATATTTAAGAATCCATTTGCTTTCCACCAGCAAAAGTGTATTGATGTTTTTAGTGGAATAAGGTAAAATGTATAGGTGAATTTAGGGAGTAATGTTATCTTTATAATATTTTTTTCCTACACAAGTCTTTGTTATGTTTTTTCATTTATTCAAGTATGTTTTACAGCAACATTTTAAAGTTTTATGTTGAACTCATCCATTTCTCAAGTCTGTCATTAGTCATAGTATCCTTTTTTGTTAGTATAAAATGAGATATTCCATTCCACTATATTTTTCAACTTATCTGTATATAGCAAAACTATTGATTTATTATGATGTTGATTTTGCTGCCACTCATCTTACTGAATACCTTCACTGTTTAATAGTTTTTCAATTAATTTTCTTGGATTTTCCAGGCAAGTCAATCATATTGCTTGCAAATAACAATAATTTTTCTCATTCTTTCCACATTTTTTACACTTTTATTTAAACTTTTCTTCTAATTGCAACAGTTAGTGCCTTCAAAATAATGATAAATAAAAGACTAGTAGACGTTTTGTCTTAGCTCTACCTTAAAGAATGTCTTGCATTTCACCATATTAAACACAATGCTGTTTTTAGATCTGATTGTTTTAAATTAATGATTATTTTAAAATTTTATACGCATTAATAAGTTACTCTTCTAAACTAGCCATTTGAATTTACACTCTTATCAAGAAAGTATGAGAATTTTTTTTCTTACAATTTCACCAACCTGTAAAAAGATATTTTATATCTTTGCCAATATGATAGACAAATAGTGATTATTTTTATTTGTTTTTCATTACTGCAGTTAAGATTCTTTTTTAAGAACATATTTATTGGATAAGCCTTTTTCTTCCTTTTATTTCAACTCCCTGCATAATCCTTGGACCACATTTCTATTGGATTGTTCTATTTTTTACCAAATTTTAGAAGTTTTAAAAATATATTATGGGCACTATTCTTGTGTCATATATTTTGCAAACACTATTTTCCCTGTTTGTCTTTTTTTGTTTCCATTTTTATTGTGGCTTTTTTCTATACTGAAATTTTAATATTTAAGCAAACTGGTAAATCTTCTTTCATAGTTTCTTTTCTTTAAAAACTATGAGATTAGTCAATATCTGAAGTTCTCAGATTTAAAGTCCTTTCTCCCAGTCCAGCCCTGGCCTAGACAGGGGTATTAATCTGGATTTACACTCAGTAAGTGATTCCATTATCCGAGCCTCCGCTTCCAACCACATTCTTTGAATCAATGAAACTCAAATGTACTTTTTTCACCTTGAATTACCCACATTAAAAGAATTCAGTATTAAGTTACTGAAGGTGTAATGGCATTTAAAGGAGAATTTCTGGGCCATGACTGATGTGATTAGAAAACATTCAGGCAATACTGGAAAATACAAAAGAATAAGCAATAATAAAACTTGGCAGATCACTCACTGAATTGCCATTAATCGCCTTGCAGTTTACTTGAAACCTGGCGGAACAGGCCCTTCCTAACAAGCCTTTCATTCCTCTACTTCCCACAATAGCTAGATCCTCAATGTTTTTCAATCTTGCTTTGTAAAAATCATCTTTTATTCTCCTTCACAATCCATTTCTAATTCTACTTGCTTTTTTCAGCTTTCCGTAATGCTCACTGTCTTCGCTGGGCTTCTGGTGCACTATTGCCTTTATTTTCAGTCTAAAATTCCTAACGGTTAGAACGTGGAGGTGAGGGAAGGATGACATGAGCAGCCTTGAGAAGCTTTGAGCTTCCCAGATTGAAAGTGTTCCAGAGAAGAGGAACACCTGTCAGGAAATAGTGGGGCAGGGATTCTAATACTGAGTGGAGTTTAGATTACACGACCTGCAATATTCTTCTCAGAACAAAGATATTGTTTCCAAAGAAGACATACCAATGACCAACAAGCACATGAAAAGATGCTCAACATCGCTAATCATCAGAGAAATGCAAATCGAAACCATAATGAGATATCACCTCACGCCTGTCAGACTGGCTATTATCAAAAAGTCTACGTATAATAAATGTTGGCGAGGATGTGGAGAAAAGGAAACCCTCGTACATGGTTGGTGGGAATGTAAATTTGTGTAGCTACTATGGAAAACAGTATGGAGGTTCCTTAAAAGCCTAAGAATAGAAGTATTATATGGTCCAGCAATCCACTCCTGGGTATACATCCAGAAAAAAAATGAAAACACTAATTTGAGAAGAAACATGAACCCTAATGCTCATAGCAGCATTACTTACAATTGCCAAGATATGGAAGCAACCTGTGTCCATCAACTTATATAGTGGAATACTACTCATCCATAATACTACTCAGAATAAAATTTTGCCGTTTGCAACAACATGGATGGACCTGGAAGGTATTATGCTCAGTGCAATAAGGCAGACAGATAAAGATAAATACTGTACGTTATATAGAGGCCAAACTAGTGGTTACCAGTGTGGAGAAGGAAGGAAGGAGGGGCAAGATAGGGGTAGAGGGAATTCCCTGATGGTCCAGTGGTTAGGACACTGTGCTGTTGCTGCAGGGGACACTGGTTCAATCCCTGGTCAGGGAACTGAGATCCTGCAAGCTGCTTGGCACAACTAAAATAAAATAAAATAGCTACAAAGATATATTGTACAGCACAGGAAATATAGCTGTATTTAATAATTTTAAATGGACTATAATCTATAAAAAATTGAATTGTATGTTGTACACCTGAAACTAATATAATATTGTAAATCAACTATATTTCAATAAAAAACAAACAAAAATATATTTTCTCCAATAAGCTTTAACACATGTACACACTCAGATTCAAAAGACTCAAAAACTATTCTGTAGAAGAGAGGAGTGTCTAGGTTAGAAAAATTCTTTATTACCTTATAATTTCAGCTCATTGTTTTGACCAGACCACTTTTAGTTTCTAAATTTATCCAGTGTCAGATAGATGGCTTTGCTACATTTAAAAAGTCTAATGATAGAAGGAAGGAAAGAAAGAAAGGAAGGAAGGAAGGAGGAAAGGAAGGAAGGGAGGGAGGAAAATGAAAGAAAGAAAGAAAGAAAGAAAGAAAGAAAGAAAGAAAGAAAGAAAAAGAAAGAAAGAAAGAGAAAGAAAGAGAGAAAGAAAGAAAGAAAGGAAGAAAGAAAGGATGACACCAGGTCTAGGCCCACAAGGAGCTGTTTGGCTGAGTCAGTTAAGGCAGCAATGGAGTTCATGACGGACAGCGAGAAGACTGGCTCTCTTTCATACAACTTGGTTTTAACTCAGAAGCAAAGAGATCTTCCGTCCCTTCCACACTCAAGGTGTCCTGAGGAAAGAGCAGGGGTTCTGTAACACGGCGTGTTGAGAAAGGCAGTCTCACTCCTTGGTTGGCGTTCAGTTATTGGGGCGTGCAGCAAGTTAGGTGGACCCACTGAGGATATTATCTTGATGTGACTAAAGTAGTCCCAACAGAATGGATAAGTGGCTTAAAATGATTCCTGCAAACAACTGGTATGAGCTCAAGGGAACACCAAAGAAATGGCAGGGCTGGTGCTTCTCCAAGTCTGAGAACAAGCTCTTTGTCAGCCACATTGAGCTAAAAACAAAATCAAATCTGGTGAGAAGTTGGTCAAACACAGTTAAAATTATCAAAAAGGCTATTTGAAATATGGATTTACGTCCACAACCATTAACAATATAAATAGCTGTAAGGAAGTTTTATGCCTCAAGATATTAGCCTATGATAATATGAAGCCATCATGATTGTCAACACATTTAAAAAGTGAGCATTCAGAACATTATTAATAATGGTATAATTATAATGAGAGCAAAGGAGGTGAATAACATTAATAAAATAAAGTGTAAGATCCATTTCAATGTAGTCAATACATAAACTTTATCTCATCATTTTTTAATTTATGTTTTTCATGCCTGTTGTAATAGTACATGTATAGAACTGCACACATGTATAGAAATATACCTGAATAGAAACATATGACATATTACTGATGGGGTGCCCAGTGCGATATAGGACAGGACAGTGGATTGCACCCAAGTGACCACCCCAATAATCAGACACTTGATCTCACATGTATCCACTGACAGGAGAAAAAAATTATTAGGCTTAAAACTATGAGTCTAGAAAAACAAACAAACAAACAAACAACAACAACAAAAAGAACTATGAGTCTGGGAGATAATGAGATCTATCACTCGAGCTGTTCACACTTAGGGTAAATAGATGGTTATTTGATTATGTTGTAGAGAGATTCAAGTAGCCTTTGGAGAATTAGATTAGATGACTTTTAAAGACCTTTTAATCCTAAATTCTATATTCTCATGATTCTTCTGTTTCCAATGTATTTTGGGTCAACTTCTTTCAACAAGTTTATCTTACTCTACCTTTTATTATATTGATTTATGTATGTGTTTGTCTTATGTATGTATTTGTCTCTTCCGGTAGCTTAATTTTTTGAGGGCAGAGTTTACTTTGTATTGCTGGTTGTATCCCCAAATTACCTGAAACCATGTTTTGCAAATTGGAGGCATTCAATAAATGCTTGCTAATTTAAAGAGTGAAGTGTTATCATCTTTAATAAAGCAAAAAATATTGTCTGACTATTTGCGGGATAAAATAAATCAAAATCCAAATAAAACAGTAGAGTAAGTTGTTCAGAGGTCTCAGATCATTTTTGATATTGAATACAGATCAATTTCAGTATTGAACGAACCATCAGTTATTAAAATGTTGTCCTTGTGCAAAGAGGGTAAGGGGCTGCCTCATCACAACAGGTTGTGGCATTGCATGACGTTTTGCTCTCCCAGTGATTATCAATCTATACGTATTTATTGAGCAGTTATCCTGTGTCAAAAGCTGTGTTGTACACTGTGAGTGTTATAATAAATATTAATATGGTTTCTATTCTCAAAGAGCCCAGAATTCAATTCAGGAGACAAAGGAGAAGGCATGTTCATGAAGCAGAGAATGCTGAAATACAAGATATTACGACGTTATAAACTGGTTTCAACTGAACGCTCTGTTGCTCAGGGACAGGAGGGTCCCTGTGGGCTGGAATGATTGGGGAAGGCTTCTTGGGATAGAGTGGCTTTGAGCAGGACTTTGAAGGCACCAGCTGCTTTGGTGTCTGGCGAGAACGGTATCCCCCAACAAGGATCAGCCCTTTTTTAGTGATCCATTTGGACGTTTGCTGTTAGAATTCTGGGGTAAAATTCAGGCCACAAATCAGAGAGTTTCTTTGTAATCAGAAACATTGATAATATGCTTTGTTGCCATCATAAAGCCCCCAACTCAGTGTTTTTATCTATAACTGTGACAAATTATGGTTGACCTGGTGTTGAAAATCCCTTCCAGCTGTAAAATATCTGTAATTTCATGAGAAAAGAAAATCTCCAGAGAGAAAGACAGATCCAGGGCACTTGGCCTTGCAGATGGTCTGTCTAGGTATAGCCCGAAGAAAGCAACAAAGCCCTAGGGATACGTGGAGAACACAGCTGGGTGAGGAAACGAAAGCACTATGCTTGGTCTCCGTGCTGCGGGCGACTCCAGCACGGATGGCCCTGCTGAGGCTGCTTAGCAGGCTTGTCCTTGTGAACATGGACCTGGTTCCCACCTGTCTTCGTGGAAGCGGCAGTCCTGCAGCCACAAGGAGAACTGATTTGGTTTCATCCTTCATCAAATCCATCTTGGCTGCTAAGAAGAGCTCAGAGACTCTCAAATGACAGTTCTAGAGAAATGCTTTGCCATTAATGGGTCAAGAGAGAAAGTGACTGTGAGCACAACACGTAGGACAAGCGGAACTCAGTAAAGCTGTAACATCTTTTCTATCTGCTGTTACCGAGGGTGAGGATGGCTACATAGGAAACCAACCATCAGAGACATTTGTGTATTGCTTTTCATTTTTTCACTTAACAAATACTGATTGAGCAAAATTTACTCATCTATGTAACTGTTCATCAACTCAGTAATTCAACAACTTTATATGGACGCTCTAACACATCAGGCATTGTGCAATATGTTTGCAGTGTGGAGACCAAAACCGCCCTGTCCTGCCCCCTAGAAGATGGCAGTTTACGGAAACCCAGGAGAGGATGCAGCAGTTACAATCTACTGTGACAAGTGGATGCCAAGGTAACACAGAGAGCAGATACTGGTGGCTCATGGCTGGGAATCAGGGAAAATGTCAGGAATATGAAGCCTTGGTTAAATCTGCAAAGTCTGAGAGGTGGGATGGGAGAAGAGAACCCAGGAAAAAGGATCAGCTTAGGCAAAGGCACAGGGGTGAATATGGTGCGTTCTATGAAATTCATTTACTTGACAAATATTTATTGAGCCTCTCTTATGTGCCCGGCACTGGGTTGAAGCATGGAACCCAACAGACAAAGTCCCTTCTCTTTATGGAGCTAATATTCTAGCAGGGCAGACAAACGAGAAATAATAAACATAACAAATAAGTATGCAGCATGTTAGAAAGTGAGACGTACACAAAAAAGGAAAGAAAGAAAAAGCCGAGCAGGGTAGTGTGGATGTGGAACACCCAGGATAGTTTGATGCTTCTAAAGAGCAGGTGCAAGTAGGTGGTAGCTGGGAACCACCTTGAGGTACTTCTCTTCTTAACTTCCCTGTTGCTCCTTCCCCGTCCATCTTCCAAACATTTTCTGGAGTGAACTTCCTGAAACCGATCTTATCAGTCCTCTGATTAGATCATTCAGTGGCTGCTCACTGATTTCAGTTTCAGTTCTGAACCCCTTAGCAGGGCACGTGTGGTCTAACCTCTGCTCACCTCAAGTCACTTCTCCTGGGGCTGTGGGTGTCTACTGACTGCCTCCCCACCATCAATTTCCCCCTTCATACTTCCTCTATGCCTAGCTTCAAGTAGAAGCCGATTCACTTATTCTATACCTTGAGTAGAGTAACTGGCTGTGGGGGTATCAGATCTAAAGAGATCCAATGAGGCTTGTGCCTGGAATCTGGGCATTTTTCCTGCTCTGGACCATGTCGTATATAGACATGAGACCTGGAACTGGGCTAGACATTTTAGCAAAACCCTCCAGAAGATAAGTTGAAAGATGGAGGTTAGAAGAAAAAGACTAGTAGAGAGTCTGAGCCAGAGCCCCAGAGACATAGATGACATATGAGCCCTACATCACTGGTAATTGACGCAGCCTCATCACCACCTGGCAATGGGTTAGAAATCCAACTTCTCAGCCCCCATCCCAGACCTACTGAATCAGAAACTACAGGGTGGAGTCCAACAATCTGTGTTTTAACAAGTCCTGTAAGAGATTCTGATGCTCTTTAACGTTTGAGAAATACTGACCTACAGCAGTTACTTAAGCCTATAAATCTGCTTTCTAGTTTAAGTCAGTTTGAGTTGGATTTTCCATTACTTGTGTCACTTGCACAGTCCTACTGAACCAGTAGGACTCAGGTGGTGTAAAAACAAATGCAACTTCATTTGTGTCCCTCACTGCCCCTGTAAACCTGTTCAGTGTGGGCAGTCCTCTTACCACTAGGTGAAAATTTGGGCAGGCCCCATAACTTTTCCATTCCTTTTTTCCCCTGTATTTTG